AGCGATCGTGAATGGCGGCCTTAACACCGCCACTACAAGGCACTTAAACTGCGCCAAAGTAAAGGGTTATTCATTATTCCCTGACACATTAGAAAAAATCGCTGTACTTGAATGGTGCAACGGATGGTAACATAGGACATGCCGATAGAAAGACAAACTCTCCAAGTTTATTTTACGAACCTCATAAATTCTCTAGGTGTCCGCCCCTTGTGACGCGGCAGACGTCAAGCCGATAATCCATTTCCGCCCGTACCGGCTGTAGCATGCCACGATCGATTTGTGAGATGGCTCAGGCAGATCCCGTGGCACAGGCGGTACAAAGACCTGGTCCTTAACGCACCCCCATAAGAAAAAGTCACATGGCGTCAGGTCAGTGATCCGGGTGGCCAACGAAGCAGCGCATGGTCATTGGCAGCCAAGCATCCGATCCAACGCTGTGGCAAATGCTGAGGTAGCCGCGGACGAGGCGGTGGTAGTGTGGCGGAGCCCCATCCTTCTGATAAATGAAGTCATCGCTGTAATCATGAAGCTGTGGCATTAGCCATTCTTGCATCATCTCAAGATAGGACATGCCAGTGACGGTTGCCTCGGCGAAACCGTCTTCCTGCATATCGGTACAGAACTGCAAACGTCGGGTATTGTCTTCATCGGTTACAGCCTGCAGTAACTGCCGCGTGTGTGGCTTAACCCGCAGACGCTTACGAAGAATTCGCCACGGGGCAGGTGCTGAAAATCAAAGGGACAGCGAAGTCAGGCGAGGCCATGACAGGAAAGAACCATGAAAAATCATTAACTTATACCCTTATCAGCACCTCGTCCAAGAGTTTGGCGGGACGCAGTGACAACCCGAAATAAAACAGGAGCCGTCCATCACCGGGCTAGCATGACTCCTTTTAATTCAATGGAAAGTCTCAGCAGAACTTGCAGGACCCGAATCTAACATTGCGTTGTGAACAGTATCGATTTGGATTTCGGCTCGAGCCAAGTTTGGCTTCGCATTGTGGAATCACAAGTTTGGCACGGACACGTATTTCGTTCTGCCTTAAGCTGGAAGACATTTGTGGCGTCGGAGATGAAGCAGACCTCGCAGACCGTTACCACTTGAGACAATTCCGACATACATGTCCTGGATTTTTTTCAGAAAAATCAAAACACATTTAAAGGGCCCAGAGATTTAGTCCCTAACCAGCATCTTAAACCTAGGCGTCCTGATGCCCAGGTCACAGCTGATAATTAGGGGCAATTATGCAACACGCGAAACCCTAAAGTTTTCTCTTACTATCGTGCATGTACAGAAGGTCGATACATATATACATCTAAGAGACAAGAGACCTGAAATAACAACAATGATACATAATAATAATAATTTCAGCAACAGCAACAATAATATTTTTGTCAGTAAATTATTGTGATTATGGGAATATTATTAATAGCAGTAGCAGTGGTTGTCTGACGATGATGATGATGATGGGGACAACCTTGTACTTTTCAGACACGTGGTCCCTTGAGGTGGTTTTGTTATCAGCTTCTCTGCCATCTTCTCTAACTGGAGCAGACTTGGCAATATTTGCTGCATTGTTCACTTATGTGGCTGATGTAACAACAGTGCAAGATCGTACATTTAGAGTGACAATGCTCGACATCACATATCTCTTAACAATGCCGACTGGTGTTGCACTGGGTATTGTATTGTAATTTTATTATCATTGTTATATCTACTGCCATGCATATTATAGGACTTGAGGCTTTCATGGTTGTGAATTAAAAAATAGCTGTCTTCTGGCCTGTAGCCTCCATGATCAGGGTGATCAACCTGATGATGAAGGCAGCAAGGATCTCTGAAACGTTAGTAAACTTCTACTAGAGTACACAGTGCTACAACTCAAAAGATAGCCACCTTGAACTGTTATACATTTTTAAAGGTACTTATATTAGACAATTACAATTAAATATGAATATTGAAGAGTTTACTTCCATCTGACACAAAATTAAAAATGAGTTAAATGCACTGCCTTGATCATCAGTAGGTCCAATACACTACAATAATTTCATCTGTTCCCAAACCAGAAGTATATAAAAGTAAAGTAAAACAAAGCTGTCCCATTATACACCATGTAGGCGGTTGGGGTGAGAGGAGGTATAGCTCCTACTCATTCTTGACCTCAGCACTAGAAGGGGGTGAGTGGTCAGCACGTGATTTCAAGTCTGTATAAACTCAATCAAGAATTTCCTTCTTTTCACTGTTGCGACCTTCAGCTGAAGCAGTTGAAGTATTAGTTTCATGTTGAATACATTAGTGCGATAAGATAATATATTTAAGCTGTTATGTATAGTGGTCATTAAAATTGCCTAAGCTAAAGGAAAATTGACGGGGCTCAACAAATTTTCATAAAATTCTCCAGTAAAAAAATTTCAATAATAGGGAAAATACTTAGACTAACGACGGTTGTATTAAAAAAAGCACAAGTTAAAGGCACAGGAAGAAATTAACTATGGAATGTAGCAGACAAAGTAGTCATTGACAGATTTACTTTTTTTTAAGTTGGTATGATTTTCTGCAGGGAAATACTTGTGGAGTTCTGTTGCTGGATATTCTTATCCAATCATGTTTGGCATCAATTCATCCTTGCTGTTTGTTGCAATTCTGTACGCGCTGTGGCAGCTTAAGTGGAGGACAACCGAGAGCCAGCAGCCAATACCAAGGAACTATTTTGGTGACTTCTTTGACTGTGATCATGTGGTGCAATCAGTGAAAGTTGTGGTGAGGAAGCGACCAGGGAACAGAAGAGTGTACTTGGTGATACTATTCATTGCCATGGCTCTCTACACATTCCAGCGAGGTTAGTCTAAATTGCATTACTCTTCACATTCATGTAAAACAGAAAATATTTTGGATGCAGATGAACATAAAAGGGTGAACATCACTTCTGTACCCTGAAACATCAAAATGCATGTCATTATGCCAAGATAAACAATTTTGATTTTTCTGTGCTCTTTTATTTGTACAGATGAGAAGCCAATGTCGTACCTCTACACCCAGCTACAGTTCCAATGGACAGCTGAAACGTACAGTGACTACAGGACTTTCCAAAATGCATCATATGTTGTTGGTATGTGAACACAATCTTACTCCTTCAGTTTCTATGTGACAGCAAGAGAATGTGACAGGCCCAGCTAACTCTGATAACAGAATCAAAATCATTTCCCCACAAATCATTTTGATTAAGTGTAGTGGTCGTCACTATTACTTCATTTTCAGGGGTCCATAACAGCTATTTAGACTGAGATATTATGTGAGTTTCCACAGTCCATCCAGTATGCAAACCATTCCATGACCACTTTTTCTAACGTATTTTCCAATTCATCCTTGTGGCTCTCTTCTGGTTTGTAGTACCATGTAGTCTGGTAGAAGTTTGCCAACGTTTCAGAGGTCCTTGCTGCCTCCATCATCAGGGTGATGAGTCATCTACCTGACTACATGGCGCTACAACCCAGAAGACAACGCCATGAAAATCTCAAATCCTTAATTCTTTTATTTTGTATTCAGCATTGTATAACCTAACAACTAACATGTCACTGAAAAATCATTTCAATCCATCCACATCTGATCTCAAAAGTAATCTTTTTTTCCCAAGAAATTTTGCTTTGGAACGGTTCCAGTTTTGGTGCTGAATTCTCATCCTCTTAGGGACTACAGTTACTTATTTACTGTAGCTAATATTACAGGGATTTTTAGGACAGCTTAATCTCTTATCATTTCAGGCACAATCCTAGGTATTCATGTAATGGGGAAACTCATGAAAATGAGAGACACGACAATGGTAATGGTGGGATCAATAGCACATGCTGTAACCAGGGTAGTGTTTGCTGTTGCCCAAGTTCCATGGTTATTTTATGTTGGTAAGTTGTCATAGCCTGACTCAAATGTTTTTATATATCAGTTTATAAATATCTGGAGTAACACTAAACATTATTAAAATTAAAGCTTGAACTTACATTCAGTGGACTTAAAATAACCCTTTGCACTTTACCATTTTTATGTTGGAAGTACAGTTAAACTTTTCATTTTTGAAAGCAGTATAGCCAACAGGAGTCGCCCTCGGTAGACTAGTGGTCAGCATGCTTGCCAGTGGACCCAAGGTTTGCAGGTTCAAAATCCGTAGCACAACTTCCTTCGGAGGGGAAGTAAAGCCGACGGTCCCATGTCGTAGATTTATGGCATGTAAAAGAACCTTACGAGCATGAATGAGATGTTTTGTAAGCAAAATTCAGCGGCTATTTCTCAAAGTCTCCTGATTCACTGCTAGTTGGCTCTGGCATTCAAATCAGAGACAGTGGGCTGGTCACTCACTACTCACAAATGCACATTTCAAAGACTTCAAAGACTAGGATGTCAATTCCAGTCAGACACACAGATTAAACGAGCTGTTCGTGACTTTTCCCAGTAGCAGCCTTTGGAATTCACTGAGAAAGGCATCAAGAGTTTGATTCAGTGGAATATGTGTTTGAAAGTGGGTGATGATTGTTTAAGTGAGCTCAATACATGTTATGTAATTGGCCACAAAATTTCAAAACTGAATTTTGAACAAAATGAAACACAAAGGAAGGACTGATTACACATTGTTTGCACACCTTGATCTGTATTCCAGGTGGCACTATAGTGGCTCTCGGACCCATTGTTGCACCAGTACTCAGATCCATGACATCCAAGGTTGTTCCACTGTCAGAACGAGGTACTGAACTTTTTGATTATTCGTAATATTTCTCTTTTAAATCTTGAAATATTCATTTTTGGAAGACTGGGTAATCTAATCAGAAGTAAAACAGCTAATGAATATTCACATTTATCTGTTTGGAATTCTATTTTCAAATTTCTCATTAACTTTTGAAAGCTGCATACCAATAAAACACAATGTAGGATTTGAGGTTTACACAGCGGTCAGTCTGAAGATTGCTGTCTTCTGGGTTGTTGCGCCGTGTAGTCTGGTAGATTTCCACCATTGCCCTGATGACGGAGGTAGTATGACCTCTAAAACATTGGTATAAATCTACCATACTACACAGCGATATAACCCAGAAGACAGCAATATTCAATAATACACAAACTTATTTTTGCATGTGAGCAAATTTTAAAAATTCTGGTAGATAGTCTTGAAACATTTTGATGCACTTTTAAATTTATTTGTGGTTTGATTACACTATTTTTAAAGTGTAGTTCCAAAGACACATTTTTATCTTCATTTAGGGAGATTCCACACAATCAAATAGTTTTATTAGTTATTTTCTTGTTCAATTTTGAGATTCACTAAAGCAACAAAGTGTAGAAGGTTTTATATCATTTACTCACACACTAATGTTCTCATACTGTGATTTAGTGGCTCATTTCACCGTACCTTTATCACTGCTGAGTGGTCTACAGTTATTGTCAGATGTCAAATGTGTACTTGCACTAATTTTCTCATTTACACAACAACATTATTAGCAATGAATAAATAAACAAGTAGCAGGTCCCTTCAAAGATCTGTGTTTGAGTGAATAAAATATGGTTTGAGTACTGCAGGCTTAATTTCCATCTCTTTGGGTCATTAAGGAGTTGATGGAGAGACAGAAGTTTGAACGTGATAAAATATGGCAACATTCATCACTGAGCTTTAGTTATATTTTATGCATCCATAAGTGGAAGTATTCATGCAAGTTTTATTGTACATTTCTTACCCATAAAGGAAAAGTATTTGCAATCCTCGCTGCAGCAGACAATGCAGTGCCTCTATTCTCAGGCATCTTGTATACTCAGGTGTATAATGCCACTATCAGCACTGCTCCTGCTACAATCTTCTGGGTTACATTTGCCAGCCAGATGTGCGTCTTTTTCCTCATCTTGTGAGTATATGTACTGAATGAAATGATGCTTATATTGAAACAAGAGTGGAAATATATATCCATGCAGGCATTTTTTATTCTTAAATCACATCAAATTCATAAGAATGTCCTAATTTCCAGATATGTACTTAACAAAGTATTTTTCTAAAAACTACAATCTTTTTCTGACGCAGTGGTGTGCACTGTATTCAGGAGGTACCTGACTGGAATGAAGACCTGACCTAACCTAACCTAACCTAACATAACATAACCTGCTTTCCAGTTTCTCAATGCAATTTCTAATATATATTTTAAAATGTTCTACAGTGTTTCTTTCCATATTCTTAATAATGAACTCTTCACTTGTCATATAATTTGTTCCGTATAAGCAGTATATTAACATACCCTATAAACCAAGCAACATAACTCCATCTAAAGCACTTTTTTTGATTTCCTAAAATACGTAACTAGATCAGGGATTGACAAAGTATACACCACAGCAATGTTGAGATGTTATAAACAACAAAAATCTTCACAAAATCTTGCTTTTACATGTACTGAATAGAGAAAATATAAAGAGAACTTCAGTCAATATCTATGAGACTGCATGGCGCAAGATCCCAGAAGGCCGTCATCTTGCCATTACACTTACTGTTTTTATTTACTCTACCTAAGTGTGGACAAACATTGAGTGGGAGCACTCTGGATTCAATTTAGTGCATATCTTAACATTGTAAGAGCACCAAAGTTTAATAATTATTAATAATGTTTTATGTTTTTGTATTCAGTCATGAGTCATGTGATTTGAGGTTGTCATGGCAGTGAAGATGTTAAAATTGGTGTTCTGGATTGTAATGCTACATGAATTTGGAGGCAGATAAAATTGTTTTAGAGAAGCAGGATTGAAGATGGAGATGGTACGGTTCTCTGAAATGTTTATGTCTAACTAAAAGTCTATTAGTGTTACAACCCAGGAGACCAACACGCTGATATGTTCAATCGGTGTGAAACAAGTGATAGCTATCCATCAATTTTATATTTTAGAATTCTTATCAAGGTTCTTACATACCTGCTGTTACTTCAAAATGGCCCCACTGAGCCCCAAATGAAAACTGATTACCCACTCCTGTGCTAGATAAACAAGATACCATCAGGTTATAAGTCAGTGACTTGGTACATTATGCAGTCAAATTAATAAATGTTACTTGTAACAAAATATAATTAGCTTTTCGGTTAATTAATTTTATATTTTTTTTTGGTTTTATTCACACACTGTTTCAAAAAGTGTCATAATTTTAAGAAGTTATTTTATGAAGTCTATAAATTGAACTAAAACATGTTTTCTATTTACATTTAATGCGATAAAGAAAATATATTTTGACCTTCAAGAAAAGTATCAGTTCCGAGAGACTTGCATGGTCTGAAAAGCTGGCTCCAGTTCTCTAAGTGAATGATAATTTTAGAAACTAGCTTCTGTACACCCATGAGAGCCAGACATTTTCAAATTAAAGTGTAATGAACCATTAATTTCATTCTGAACATGTTTCAGGTGCATACACATGTCTCTCCATGGAGGAAGCCTGGAGGACACTTTTGTTCATCCACTCAGCTACAGCAATGATCCCAGAGATAGTGGATGACTGTTATAAGAAAATGTCTACCTTCTATTTAAACATACAAAATATCACAATTTTGTACCAATACGAAAACTGATAAAGTGCTATTAGATAGTCAAAGTCTCATTATATATTCCTATTAAACCACTCAACTTCAAATGCTAAGAATAACAAAGCGACATTGTCACATGGCGAAAACCTATAAAAAAACCTGTTATAGGAAAGCCTAGACCTGAAACCAAAAACTTCAGACATTCCGAAGAAGGCTGGATTATTGTGTTCCAAATACGAACGGAATTCTCGCACCCAGTTACTACTGTACGGACCTCCTTTTCGTAAATCAATTACCTCCGCTTGGCTGGTGATAACAACCTGCTACTAAAGGCTGGGATACTGGGAACGACCCGTTCTTCAAGTGCCTCAGCACTGCGGGTCCCAACTTTTCGTTGGCTCGATCTATAAGACATTCGGTAGGACTGCAAGG